CACATCCTCCACATGCAAAATTCTTAAAGGCTTAACAACTTATGTCAAGCAGCAACCGAGTACAAAGGTTGTAACTAGTAAAGATAATTGTTTGCTTTACTTCTTTATTTACTGTTCTATGTTTTAGGAAAAATAACTTTATAAGAACTTGTTTCAAAATAGCAATAATCTATATACATATATAATGTATAATTATTGAAATGTGACTGAATTTTACAAAATTCTAGTCAACTAAAACACAGCCAAGACAAATTACTTTGTACAGACCAAAGGTCACCTTTTTGTTATTTGACACGGTAACATGAGTGCACATCAGCTGCATAGTTGTAACTTCTGTGTTGTTAGCCAGGCATGGGTGAAAGGTCAATATAATAATAAATGTATAATTTATGAGATTTAAGTTATTTTGTCTAAACATTTATGTTTTAGTGTTATAATTTGTGCTCATTCTAGAATGAAACAGGCATAATTTATGTTTATTTCCCAATTTTGTATGGTGGTTGCGAGATCAGTGAAATTTATCTAACCCATACAGAGATTAATTACTGAAAATAACAGATAAAATATAAAGTTTTTCCTTAAGAAATGTTTAATAACTATCTGGATATTATTAAGATTTTGCATGTGAAATTTCAAAATTTTTTGATGCATAAAAATATTTTTTAACTTAAAATGAATATTACTTTGCATGATAGATAGGCAAAATGTGAAAAGAAAAAAAAAAGCCAGGAGAAAAACATTGCTTTACAAACCTTAAGACTTAATAAAAAAAAAAGATATTTTGCGTATGAAAGCATTGTAATGTTTACTGATAAATTGCCAAATTTAATTAACATTCGCTTCCTAATTTAAAAGTTATAGCATGGTTATGAGGTCGGTTCCAATGAGTTAAGCATGAAGTTTTATTAATAGGTTTAATTATTTTTAAATATAATATAGCTCAGTAGCTCATGTGATAAAAGTTAGTAATACAAAATTATAGTACCCAACTGTTTTCTGCAACATAAGTTTATATTGCAATGCCATATAATGCATGGATGTTTGTTCAGTTTGAAGTTCTGACACAATAATTCACTTCTGCAAGCATCATCGTGCAACAAAAGAACTCCACCAATAATAGGATGACACACCTCCAAACACTAACTCCCTCTGCATATGCACTCATGAATATTCAATTTTTCCTTGACACTGTGGAGCTCAGATATGTTTGAATTTTTCATGTGCTCAATTTATTGAGATTTACATCGTTAACAAACCTTTGATTTTAGTTTTATTTAGCTTTTGTTTCAAGTGCTTTAAGTTTTTATCATGAATTCTCAAATGATGGTGATTTGTACTTAGACTTGAGTGGGAGACATTTTAACACTTAGGCCTTATTTCTGCTGTGATTGTGGAGACTCGTTAATTTTCAAAGTGATTGCAGCTATTGTTCATTGTGTTGTGTAATACCACATGCTTAATAGACTATGACCTTCACATGATTTGCCTTGGGTAGTACTTTACCATTTGTGAAACAATCTTAACATTTCAACCTTCTTCTGGATTTCATTCTCAGATATGTACTTTCTATTTCTTTTGTATGCATTCTTTATTTTTATTTTTCTCTCACTTTCTGTTGGGTTTATCTTGTTATTTCTCCTTGCTTGCTATTAGGTTTTGTATGGTTTCCTTTATCTAATAGCTCCTTTCTCACACCAAAATGCCTCATCCCCCTGTTTTTTTTGGGGGGGAATCTTTCTGTCTTGATTGTAGAATTTCATCTCTCTCTTTCCTGATTTCTTGTCATTGTTATTTATCTGGCCAGCTTGGGGATTAAGCCCTTTACCTTCTATTTCACTTTCTAGTTTCCCATTTTTACGTCTTTTTCTATCTACCCTTCTGTATTCCCTCTCCTAAGTCCACCTTTTATCTGAAATACTTCTTAACCCTATGACTGCTGGATGAGGAGATCTGCAGCACCTAACATCGCTATTGTTATATTTTATTCCAAAAATAAATCTAGTGGATGAAATTGTTTGAAATTTAACAAGAACCTTCCTAAAAGTATGTAGTTTCATTTTGATTTTTCTACTGTTTTTAATAAAACATTCATTATTTAATGTAGATATTTGCACTCGTACTCTGAATAGTTCACCTGCAAGATGATTTTCATTTTGAATATAAAAATACTATTTTTTATCTTACAGTTTTAATATTTCATTTGAATATTTTCTAGAACCTCCTAAATGAATGTAAAGGTTTTTTAAGGTAAATGTTTATATTTTATTTTCCATTTTTCTACCATATCATTAATGCACAATGCATTAAAATGTTTAAAATTAAGTAATGGAAATATGTATTTACTTTCATAGAATAGTCTAAAAATATCTTCTATGCATTTAAAAATTTCTGGAGGCTATGCAATATGCAAACTTTACAGTGGACAAAAATATTTTTTATTCTTCACATGAGCATCACCTTGTTAGTCTTAGTTAGACTGATGATTTCAATTTACAGACGCATCTTGAGCACAAATACATTTATAGTTCATCTGATTTTTTGTGTACAATAGACTTATACATTCTACTAAAAGTTTATAACATTTCATTTAGATACACAGCAAATTTGTAATTATAATCAATACAAAGTCAGTCCAATGGACTTAGCCTGTGTGCATTTGGACGATTGGTGGTTGATTGCATAATCAAAGTATGAATTTTTAGACTTAGTTAATATCTAATACGTTGTTAAATGTTATTGTTTTATTTTTAATAAAATTGTTTACATTAAGTAAGGATCGCATAATTTCAAATTGTTAGCATTATAATTTTAATACAAAAGTAAATGCTAAACAATGTTGAAGTTTTTCAGGAAAAAAATCTTAAAATCCAACTCCAGTGTACAAAGAATATCAAATACAAAAGTATTCTGTAAGTATTCTTAGAGCTCATTGTAATAAACGTACGTATAAAAGCTAAAATCTGCTATATTGTTTTTGACAAGTTTTTAAAAGAAGAAATCAGGAAGATTAGTTCCAATACAACTTGTCAAACAAATCTGTTATATACTCTGCGAAATATTTTACATGGTTGAGGTTAATTTACCTTAAAGTCCTTGGAGAAAACCTTTAATGAAAAGCTAATACAAAAAACTGTTTGTCAATTGTAGTATTTGTATCTATAAATAGAGTTTATGCAATAGTTAGATATGTGTGCTTTAGAGTGTAAGGCTTAGCAACTTGTTTGTTCCCGAAAGTGCTTACACTGTTAATGGTGATATTAGTATGCAACAAAGCAAAACAGATGTAGCTTACCAATGTGGAAAGACTTGACAAGTTAATTATGGCACAGTAGTCGGGCTTAGTTTGTTCTTTATTACCTACATTAATTTTAAAGGTCAAAAATGATTGTCAAATTTTGGTGTTAAGTTTGATATTGTTTCTCTGTCAAAAACAGTTAATTCCCCAGTATTTCTTGTATTAGAAATGTGACTATAGCTGTTTTGAATTATTGACTCTTTTGAACTGGTTACAGAGTTTTAAATAGTCTATGGAGGCCAGATGCATTAAGTAAAATACATTCAGAGTTTGCCACAGCTAATGACATGCTAGAGGTTGAAAAACAAAACATTTTAGGTATGTATTTAGTTTACACTAATCATTGTCTTAGTCATGTAATTGAATTATCACTGACAGTATTTACATAATTTACTATCATCATACTAAGAGATAATATTAGTTCAAAAAAGTGATAACTGCACATTATTTATCAATAATTTTGTATGTATATTTTTATGTTTTATAAATATGATGTTTGAATTCTCATAGATTTTAACAATAGAAACTAATGTGTTTTCATCATTACACAAGTTATATTAAAATTTAAAAAAACATTTCAGTGTGCAATAGCTTTCAAAATCATGGATATTTTTCAAGGTAGTTTTAAAGTTTAAAACAAGTGTGAAGTTTAACAGTTTAACATGTCCATGATTGGAGATGCACAATATGTTGCAAGTATTGATGATTATTTCACACCACTTGTCACTTTTATTCAGAACAGCTTTGCATGATTTGATTTTTTAATGACTTATGGCTTATTTTCATAAGTTTCAAAATTACAAATGCTGAGAAAATCCCAAGAAACAGTTTACTATTATTACATTAAATTTCTGAGTAACACTTACAATTTCCATTTTCAACCAAACTCCTTATTCTATTTTTTTGTTTTCTTAATCATTAAGTTTTATTCTAAACTATTGATCTTCATGGTAGTTTTAGTGTCAATTTTCATTAGTGGTATATAAATAAGCAAAAACTTTGTTGAATCAAACATAATTTATAAAATTTGAATTTTGTTTTTCATTTTGCTTTCTGAATTATTTGCCCAAACTGTGTAAAAATTGGAAGTGTTTTATAGAAAAACCCAGATTGTAATTCTAAATGCTTTAACCTGACATCATCTAACCTCATTCTATATATTTGATAACCACTCTGTATTCTGTACTGACATTTTTTTAAGATTTTAATGAAATTCCAGTCAGAATGTTAAATATTATATAGGCTTGTATTTTAGAAATTTGTTATTGCATTTATATGCCTAATATCATTGCAGGAGAGCTTCTTTAGCAAAATCGATTAAATAACCTAAAAAACAGCCTAAATTTAAAGCATATGCTTTTAACAAGCTAGAAGTAAACTATTTTATTTTTATAAGTAAAGTTTCTAGATACAAAAGTTTGTGGTTGTAATCTGACTAAATGCTTAGTCAAAATCAGTCTGTGATTTTTAATATACTTAATTTATATTTAACCATGATACAATAGAATTTCTAGTTCTAAGTTCGTTAACTAATAAAAAGTAAACATTACATTGAACTTTAATGATTAAGTCCATCGATCATATCACTGAGATATATCGCTGATAGGCTTATTCTGGTACTAAATATATGGTTTGAGTGAAAATGTAAGCAGTTATACATTACTGCATAAAGATCAACTGTTTACACTTTTAAAGTTTAAGTTTGTTTCACATGATTTTAATCTCTCAGTTTCTGTATGCTTTGACTACAAATGTATGCAGTAAGATATACAGATTAAGGCAATAAAAATAATTGCATGCATATGTATTATTAAACTGTATCATATTGTATTATAAAGCAATGTTACAAAGTTTCTTAAGTTGTCACTAGCTAACAGGTAAACAGTATTTGTACTAACCTGAATAATATAACAGTTTAAGATATCAGAATATTAAATTATTGTAGTAGAATATGTGGGAATATGTTCCTCATGTATTCAGATAAAGAAACAAAATTATAGTAAAACAAAATCATAAGTATTTTACACAAGTTTGCTATTTGAAAGGTTTATGTGTGTGTGTTTAAGCTATATTTTATTTTCATATTCAGCTCTTCATGTCCCTGCTAGGTTATTTTAAAATGGAAAGTGACTATCTCGTACCACTCTTGGCTTCAACTGTACTAAGATGTTGAACTAAAATGTTTCTGCATATACACTTTATTAAGCCTCAACAGCTGATAGCAATAGTGTATTCATATTTAGTAATCCAAAGACTGAGGTATTTTCTGGATATTCGATGTTAAAAATATATATCAAAATATTGTTTAATTTAAGCAGTGCTAATTGATGTATCTATGCCGTACTGATCGTGAGACTTCAGGAGTAAATATTGACTTCATATAACATTTAAATTTACAGATTCTTCAGAAGCATTCTATAAAAAAAACTTGTATAAGAATTTTAATAAAGCACTATAAGAGCCTCTAATGCAAAACGTTGAGTAAGTTTAATGTTTCCTCCTGAAGCCTTGAAATATTTTTATAAAATTATGGGCCAGGTGTGGCCAAGTGATTATCATGCTCAGACATGAATCTGGGGGGTTCACAGCCCATTGCCATATAAATTCACTTCACACTTTTAGACCATTGCTACATTATAAGAGTGACAGTCAAATCCCACCATTCACTTGGTCAGGAGTTCAAATTGGGGATGGATATGTGCAGGTAGCTCTTTTTGTGGGGTTTCATAAAAGTCTGAAAAAAATGTATAAGAAATATACTTAAAAAAGAAATTTAGAATGAAAATGACACATTAATTTTTATTTTATTTATACAGGTCAGAATCCACAGTGTCTAGATTTTTCAGATAACCCTGCTATGAAACAGCCTCCAGAAAGGATGAAACATTTTATGTCAACTGTTCATGAAACCTGGTTAGTAATGTTGGGCATTTTGGAAACTTAATATTGTTGTTTTTACCTCCAAAAATAAAGCACATGATTTATGGTATTAATGTTACAAGACATGTAAGATTCACAACTAAAGAATTTAATTTGCATCTAAATTTGCACAACTAAAGAATTTTTTTTTCCTTTATATTCATTAAGTCTGTTACAATAATTTACTTTTGTTGCTTGTGTATTAAAAAATTGACTAAATTATTTTATTAGTGTTAATAGTTAAATAGTTTAATCTGAATCAAAAAACAAAAAATCTACTAAAATATACCATTTATAAGTTAAGTATGTTATTTTTATACTTCCTAAATTATTGAAATTTCAAGAGAGTTCTTTTTTGTTTTACTGCTGTCACTGCAACTGCCATAGTTTGTTTAAAATCAATTATATAAAGACAAAAAATGTGTGATTAGGTTCATTAGCATTTAATGTAAAAAATATTTGTTTTGTAATTTGTACAGGATGAATCAAGTTTTGATTTTTCCTATTGTTTTGGAGTAGGTTTGGAATATCAAAAATCTGCTTCATATGGTGTTTAGACATATTAACTGATATGATGTCATGATTCTAAAAGTGAAATCAAGGTCATCCAAATGCATATGTTTACATTATTTTCCAACTCGCCTACTAATAAAGTGAAATATCTTTGAGTTAAATATTTATGAAAATCGATTATCTCTTTCAACACGGGCTCGGTCCCAGGGACTGACCACATTTGTATATCATTTTAATATTATAATTTCTAATACAGTATGTGTACTTTAACAAAATTTGACAGACTTTTAGTAAAAATTACATGTCATTTGTATGAAAAAAATCAGTTTTTTTTAATGAAGTATTTTTGCTAACAATTTGTCCATGTGAATTGAATTTTTATTACTACTACAAGAGCAAAGTAATTTTTATGTAAAGATTAAAAATACTACTCATTTTCTCAAAAATCTCAACCTTCATTTTTGTAATCGCTTCAACCTCCTCAGTAAATATGAAACTTTTTTTATAGTAAAACTATATTTCATCTGTTATTACCCCTATCCTAACAGTATATTTTATTCTTCAGCCATTGGACAAATCATCAAAGTATAATGAAAAGAAATGTTGTAAAATCAGAAATAAAATGAGCAGCTTTGCCCTGTTTTCTTGATTATTATTCATAAGATTTTAAAGTACTTGAGAGTTTCAACTGCTAAGCATTTCACATTTATTTTCTATGTGTATTTTACTGTCTACAACTGAAGTAGAAATCTGCTGAAAATGAAGCAATAAATCATTGATTGTGTCAGTGGACTTTATGTGACACCATAATACAATACCTTCAAAAGCAACAAAGCACGCGCGAAGGGATAGCCAACTTGACCCCTGCTCCGAAAACAGGATGTCTAATGTATCAAATTATATATCTTACATTGTTTACTAGGAAATTTAACTTTAGTAATCACACTGCACTTAGAATCTGTGAAAACATTTATGCCAACAACAGGATGTGGAATTTATTGGCTTATGTATGTATGTATCCTAAAGTGTTTTACAACAAGTATTCTCCAGAGAAATAAGACTGCACTTTGAATCTGTCAAAATGTTTATTATATGGTTCGGTGCCAATACAGTGAACATCGCAATTCCTTCTGAGATGTTAGAGATTTAGCAGTATACTGTATAGGTGTACAAATATCTTATTGGTACACATGATTGTGATATCCTTCTTCTCTTTCAGCAAACTTATTCATCAACCAATAAACATTCAGGTTTCAAATCCGGTTATTGTTTTGCAAGCATTCAAATTCAGTCAAGCACTCTGACTTTGGCTATTTCTCTACACTTTGTCCGAAGATGTAGATAAATGTAGTACCAAGCAAATCTATTCCATTTGAAGCATATTTCTTGATACTGACGTTTTACCTAGAAGTAAGTAATTATTATTTATAATACATCTGAAATCAATAGTTTTAGTATATAATTGTTGACCAAGTTACATTTTAGCTGTTTCTGTATTTTAGGATAAAATGTACTGCTTCTGAAATTTGATACACATCACAGAATATAAATACATATAAAGAACTAATACAAATCATACAATACATATAATATTGTTACACAACAGAGAATACATGATGCAAAATTTACATGTAATGTTTTTTCTTCTAGAAGTGGGAGCTAAAAAAGAACTTAAAGAAAAGTACCAGAAATTGTCTAGTCCTGATTTTTCCAAGCCCGTTCCCTTGGCTGTGGTTTTGCTAGATAGTAGATAGGGACAGTGGGAATCTCGTTAATCCATTCATGCAGTTTTTACTACATGTATCTTTCTCTTCAGATGAAAGTGGCAGTATGTCAAGGTAATTAGCAGTTGAGGAAGCTGATGCTTCAATTGCTATGCCCTTGACAGAATCAGTGTATAAAACAAGATGGCCTTAAATTGAACCAGCTCCTCTTGATTCTGTCTTATGGACAGATCAAGAAGTAGTTGGAAGGTCTTCCTCAGATGAAGATATGCAGGAACCACCCAAGCCAGGTACATCTAGAGAAGCTACATCACCATCACAGAAAAGAGTTAGGGCTAGGAAGGGAAGGGGTAGAGCTGCAGTGTGTTGTAGGAGTGCCCCTTCCCAGCAGGAGAAGCCTCTCCCCTGCAATGATACCTGGACTTGAGAGCAGATCACTGAGGAGGAACAAAGAAACATACCCCAATTCAACAGAGGTGAACCTGTGTCCAGGCTGGTCACCTCTTTAAATAAAATTATTGACTTCTTTAAACTTTTATTTACTGCAGAAACATTAAATATCATTATAAATGAAATGAACCAGTTTGCAAACCACAGATGCCAACAAGAAGGTGGACCACCGACAAAAACAGTAAAATGGACCAATATTACACATTGTGAACTCTTGGCATATTTAGGTTTAACTTTAACAATGGGACTAAAGCCTTATCCTTCTCTTTCTGACTATTGGTCTACCCATCTTCCTTTCCATAATCTTTGATTTACTAACATCTTCTCTAGGGACAGGTTACATTTCAATGATATTACTAATTCTCTTCCTAGGACTGACCCTAACTATGATAAACTTTTTAAGGTTAGACCTATCATAGACCGTCTACTAAACTCTTTTGTTCCCCACTACTCTCCTAACAGAGAACTAACCATAGATGAACAGATGCTGGGCATAGAATATAGAATTGGTTTCCTTCAATATTTACCTAAGAAACCTGTTAGGTGGTGTATCAAGTTGTGAGTCCTGGCAGCAGCTGCGAGTGGAAACTGTCTGAAGTTTAAAATCTACACAGGCAAAGAGGGACAAATGCCAAATAAAGGTTTAGCAGATAGTGTTGTGATGGAACTGATGGACTATTTCCCACAGCAACTGGTTTCTACAAACCTACAGAGAGGGGAAGCACATTTTTTTAAATGTGAAAATCTGACAGCTGTAAAGTGGAAAGACAAACAAGACATTTATGCACTTTCAACTTTACACTCTAATACTATGACAACTGTGGCAAGAATAGGGAGGGATGCTGAGGTTACAAAACTTCAGTTGATCGTGGACTACAACAAGTTTATGGGAGGAGTGGATCTAAATAACCAACACTTAAGTTACTATTCTACTGCATGAAGACAATAAAATGGTATAAAAACTGTTTTTCGACTGTTGGATATGACAGTTGTAAATGCTTACATTTTGTACAAACAACAAACCAATCAGCCAGCATTATCCCAGAAGGCCTTCAGAATGGACCTTGTCATAGCTCTTATTGAGCTTCTACTTCAAAGCAGACCAGGTTCTTCTGGTATGTCACTTTCTAGAACTGTACAGGACTCATCACCTCTGAGACTTACTCTTGGCAGGCACTTCTCAAGAATTGTTGATAGAAGTCACAGGAAGAGATGTAGACTGTGCCTCCCAGAAAATAAAGTAACAACAAAATGTAAACTGTGTAATGAATTTATTTGTAATAAACATTTTGAAGAGTATCACACTAGTGTTACTCTTCAAAGAAGTTAATTCTTTATCTATGTCTACTCACTTCCTTTGTTCACTTTTTTTTTCTCTAAATATTTTAATATTCATATTTCAAAGTACAACAGTGGTTACTTTTTACATTAAATTTTGACTGAAATATTTTGTAGTTTTCTTTTGTTATTCATACAGTAATGATGCTATCTTTCATGTGTCAAAATCAGTTTACAATGTCTAAAATGTTTATAGTAAAATGCCTATGTAAACTTGCATTCATTGATACAGTTTTTCCTATGCAAATTTTTTTCCATTGTTGATCCTTTCATTCTGGTTGTTCCTTTTATCATGTGTCAACATTTGTATACATTTTGTTATGTGTATAACTTGATATTGTTTCATGCAACTTGTATGTGCATTATTCATTTTAGATATGTATGTCATTTGTGCATAACTTTATTCTGCAAACATCTTTAGAGTATTGTATCTTTCTAAAATGTTATGAATAAACCTTTTTTTTTAGGTTTTCTACTGCTAGTGTTGCATAACTTGCTTTTATTTTACCTCAGTTTAGACAATTAAAAGAAGAATACAAATTCAGCGGGCATAACTATATGGGCCTACAAAGTCAAAGTACAAATCTGTAACTATAATAGTAATACCAGTATTTTGCTAAATATAGGGAAATTTCGGCTATCGTACATAAAATATGTATTTATATATATATTATTATTTATTCACAAATGCTAAAATTTTAGTTAATTTTCTTAAAACCTACAAGAATAAAGAAAATATACTTCAAAAAACAAAGATTTTGAGTACTTACAGTGGTTACAAGACTTTGTGCTCAAGCGTCACACGTACTAAGCCTTGCCATAAGCCTCGTTTATTCTTCCAAATGGAGGGTGTAGAGTTATTAATTTTGTATGCTTCAAATTTGCATATAAACTAATAAGAAAAATATCACTTACTATATTAATGCACCCAAAACACCTGTTATTTATTTGGGTGTCTAAACAAGCTTTATCTAAGTTTTAAGAAATTCTGTTTCTCTTCAGAGCAACCAACTTAGTCATCACACTTTAACAGTTTAGGCGAAATTACGATTTTTCTCCTTCAAGCTATTTACAAATGGCTGTAAGACTTACATACACAAGTAACTGCTCTTTCTATTGGTTATAAACTCTTAGAAAAATAAAAGTAGGTGGGACTAGACAAAAGGTTTTAAAAGACTGAAGTAGTAGGAGGAGCCAAACTACTAGATGTTTAAATATACTTATATCTCAGCAAATTAAAGAGGTAGGAGGTTCTTATTTTTAATTATAACTTGTCAAAATCTCCAATTTGTGTTTTTAATTCGTTAACTACTGCACACGTCGTATGGTAGGCGTAATTAATTATAAACTGAACAATAATGCAACAGGAAGTGTTATGTGACACACAAAAAATAATATTTATCTATTTTTTCTTTATATTTCCTTTTAAATTGAGAAATTAAAACGTATATAATATTAAAAGTTGAAATATGACCTTCATTTTGATGTGAATCCCTTTGACATAAGTAATAACGAAGCTATTTAATAAAATTTTGAAAATAACTCTCTAAAATGTCATGACATGCACCCTTTGACCTGCCAGTATGGAAAGGCTTAAGGAAAACAAAGTTTTTTGACGTAATATATTTGCAAACTATAACTTTTGCAAAGACACATTTTACCTCAGACTGATAGTTTCAGAGATAGCATTTGATTGACCTTGATTTTACTTTTCTATAATGACATCATGTCAGGTAACAAATGGTTCCGAATATGCCTAAACACCCTATGTCAGAACAGTTTCAACATTTACACCTACCTCACAAAATAAGGACTTTTGACTCACCTTGTGTAACATACCAGTGCTTAGGAAGATTGCAAAAATGTTAAATACTTGTCTAATGTTAGCTATCAGTATTAGTTGCATATTTATTTCTTATTAATATACTGTAGTTCTGATAAATAGATAAAAATATTTTTATTTTTTTAGTAGTTGTTTTGCAGTAAGCTATGATATTCTCTTCCATGTGTGTATTTTGGATAGTTGTTTAACAAGCATTAGTATCAGTGTTCATTTTAATAGTTTTGTTTTGATTATAAGCATTTTTTATTACATGCTACAGCTGTTAGAGTAAGGAAGAATATATTTTAAAACAGGTATGACATTTCGATCACTGGTGCAATCATTCTCAAGTACCAGTGATCAAAATGTCTCACCTGTTTTAAAAGAATATTCTTATTTACTGTACAAGCTGTAACTTATAATAAAAAATATTAATTCTAATGTTTAGTTGTTTTTTTTTTGTTAGTTATCACATTTTAGGAAATTCTGGGCCAAGTCTTGGAGCTGACTTTTATGCCATTCCAAATCTGGCAGCAGCTATTGTATCATCTGTTTTTGCTGACTTGAACAATGTTCCAGATTACAGATTACGTCCTGTTATTCATATCCTTATTTTAGTAGTTTTGTTTTTTTAAAACATGTTACAATATCCTTCTTTACCTAGAAGAAATAGAAATCCTCAAGCTTACATAAAAATGTTATTTAAAATACTTGAAAATTTACACAATTTTGCTTATCCATAGTTACATTTAAATGTTAATTTTGATATATTCATTCTTATATTATATATATATCTTAACATTTAACTATATGTGTGCATTTGAGAAAACTAAAAAGAACTATAAAATCCTCAGAGATTGGATGTTGGTCAGTTTTTTTCAATAGATTAATGCTTAATCATAAGTTCTGAAATTAGATTTATGACATTCCATAAAGTTAGATAAATTATTCTTAAAGTTTTGAGTACATGTTATGTAGAGATAGACAGTTTGTAGCTTTTCCCAAACAAAAACAACAACGAAAATGTTTTACTTGCTTCTAGTAAGAAGGTTCACTAATAATAAATAGGTTGGCAACAGTTGCCTTCCCTCTAGTCAGCAGTTAAAAATTAATGTCAGTGGCAGATAACCATAGTACCTTTGCCATAACAAAGACAGGACAAGCAAATTTGGTGGAAATATTTCAATTACTTGGAATAATAGGAAATCCTAATTTTTATTATTTTTGGTACAATTGATCGATTCGTAATTTTGATTAATCAGTCAATTTACATGAGGTTAATCAATGTAATCAGTCACTGCTTGTAGATAATCAGTTAAATCCTCCAGCTCTACATGACATGAATGTAATTAATTTTAAATCACAAAATTATTTTTTTTTCTTCATATGTTTTCTCTCATGTGTAAATAAAGAGTACACATCAATTAAAAAAGGATATGTTGTAGTTTCTTTGGCATTAACCCATAATCAGCACACATATCTTTATCTTGATCATAATATTCCTGTTGTAACTTGTACATTCAACCTAATTTCAGTTATATGAAATGCATTTTTTTTTGTATGATACATGTAACCTCCTGTTTGGTTAATATGACTGTAAATTAGTATCATCTCATAACTCGTAGATTTGAAGATTTTCTTATCATACCCAGCATTATAGCTACAATCCAATCATTGTAAGAGAGCTTCTTTATAAGTATTTTCTTGATTTTACAATGTCTTATGAACTCCAAAAACATTGAGAAGAATAAAAATTAGTTTATTATAAATATTATATATTTTTTAAATTGTTCTAGTTGGTTGTTTTTGAGTAGTTTTGTTACAGATTTCATTATTTTTTATTTTGAAAATATTCATTACTCTAATAAAAATGAAGTAGTTTCTCAACACATTAATATAAAGTTTCAAATGAATATTAAATTAAGCCCAAAATATGAGTTATAGATTATATTTAAAGTTAACTTTTTTACAAATATTCTTTGCTTTATTGAACCCTAGGGGAATAAGTGCTAGGATATTCAAATATATATATTTAATTTGTATTTTTTCTTAAATGTATGTATCACAGACTTCATTTTCTTGCTATGTTTAAGTTGTTTATTGAAAGGAAAATGATACAAAAAATGAAACCTTAAACCATGAGTGGTTATGATTTTAACATGTGTCTACGTATTTTTATGAAACCTTTTATCCAACACTGTCCACCACAATTCTACCAGACAGCCCTTATTCCTGTACTAGAGGTTCTTTGTCCACTTATGTTTCAAGTAAGTTAATTTTCATAATGACATATATGTATGGTTTCACTGATAGTTTAAGTGTATTGTCTTAATATTGTATATTAAGGAAAATCTCTGTATTATAGAGTATTTAAATTTTGAAATAAGATATTTATAGCTACACATACACTTTTAGTGCATTTTGCTAAAATCTCTCAGAAAAATTTAACAATTTGCTGAAATGATGCTTGAAAATAATTCCGAAAATATTTCAGTTTTTCCTCAAATTAGATTTTATGTTAATTTCTATAATACTAAGTGTAGTGAGAAAATTATGTAGATTGGAGATTCATTGTTTATTTGACAGACACAAGATATAGATGAAAATAATACATGTTTGAATTACATAGAGATAAAACTACACTTTTATGTTTGCTTTAGGATTCATACAAAATATTTTAAAAAAATCACATAAAGCAACTAAGACAGATGTCACGTTCTACTGTGAATGAAGATGCATGAGTTTTACCTATTTGATTTAATAATGTCTATTTCAGTGTAAATTGTGAAGAGATTACTCAATGTATGAAAAAGTTACATATTGAAGTGCTTTGGGAATGCTCAGTGCTCATTAGAGCAGGTTTAATGTATTATACATGACTCGTTAAAGCCAGTAGGTTCATTGTTATATGAAAATTGCATATTTCTAATATTTTTGTCTTAGGGTCATTATCATTTTACAATTAAAAGTTAATTTTCATAATTTTCTACAAATGTAGAGGATGACGAAAGGTGGAAGACTTTCGAAACGTTGTCCTCTACATTTGTAGGTTTCTACAACAGGCAGTTGCTGTCCATTTGAAACTTAGATTCATTGTGTGTGTTAGTCGTGATAGATGGATCTTTTTAAATGTTTTATCCTGAAAAAGTTATTATTACTGATATCTTCATACTTATGTAACTTATGATAAAATGTTAGTTTTTTTACTGTAAAATAAAATTGTAAAATTGTTATAAAACTGTTATAGAATCAGTGAATGCTGAAATATGACACTGTTGAGATAATTCTCATTGTTTTAAGATTAATATTGAAAATAAATTCATTGTACTGACTGCATATTGACTTCAGTTTTAAAAACCAGGTATTTTTATGCATTGTATTAGGTAGAACATGTAGAATTATTATTGGACTCAATAACACAGGCCTGTGATAGTTTTATTGTCTTGAAATTTTTACATGTTTTACGGTAATTCCTGTATGATGAATCCAAAAATGATATCCATTCTTTTCCATCATATACAGATTTTTCACAAAACGTCATATTTACTTTTACATAAGTGAGTCATTTTTATTGATATCGGGTCACATTTTGTTATGCTTAAATCGTTGAAAACCATTGACTATAGATTTCTCTAGACCAATTACGACTTGAGAGTCTTATTGATCATTCTAGAACCCACGAGAAACTTACTGCTAGTATATAAATGGTTAACAGGCCGTATGACGTCATTTCTGGATAGTATTTGTTTGTGAGTCCACTTTGACATTATTTTTTTCTTTTTAATATTATTTATTTGTCGCTATAACAAGAGGTTGTGTAAATGAACTGAACATATTCTGTTATATTTGTGATAAATATGTTGTAAAGAAACAAAGGCAAAACATTACAGAATTCATCAAAAAAACATATTACGCATATTTTTTAATATAACTCGGGGACCAAGACAAATCATGGGTTCTGTACAAAGTTTGCACTGTTTGTTTCGAGGAGTTCAGACATTGGACTAAAGGTAAGAAAAAATCTTTGCCTTTTGGAATTCCAGTGGTGTGGCATGAGCCTAGAAACCATGGAGATGACCGCTATTTTTGCTCACGTAATGTGGAAGGCTAGAACACTTAAAATAAAATGGAAATTTCTTATCTAAAACTTAAGTCTGCTATAAGACCTATTGCTCGTGGACCTGATGTACCAACTCCACTGGAGTCTCTTGATACAGTTTCATCTGATGTCAGTAGAAATTATGATAAGGATTGTTTTCAACCTGAAATATCTGGCGAACCACAACTTTTCACACAAGGTGAACTTAATGATTTGGTGAAAGATTTGGGCCTTCCAAAGGGTGCTTCAGAGATTTTGTGGTCCAGACTTTGCGCTAAGAACTTACTTTCTCAAGGGACATCATTTTACTTGGACATAAATTGAGAGAAAGAGTTTATACCATGCTTTTCTCAAGAAGATTCACTGGTTTATTGCAACAATATTGCTGAACTAATAGCAATGCTAGGAGCTGCAGTCTGTGAACCAAGTTAGTGGTAATTGTTCATTGATTCCTCCAAATGGAGTCTAAAAGATGTTCTCCTTCACAATGGCAACATATGTGCATCTGTTCCTATTGCTCATTTGGTTCATTTGAAAAATCTCAAACTTATTCTTAATAAGGTAAAATACAAAAAACATGGTTGGTTACTTTGAAGAAACTTAAAAGTCCTTTGTAGTTGAGCCAACAATACGGTTATACAAAGTTTCTATGTTTTTTGTGTGAATGGGACAGCAGAGTGTGAAACCAGCTCTGTATACAGAAGCAAGGGCCATACAGAGTCAGCTTGATACCAGGATCGAAAAACATTGAACGTGAAAGTTTTGTTGGCATAAAGAAAGTCCTATCACCTCCACTTTAGATAAAACTGGGCTTCATGAAGCAGTTTGTAAAGACCTTAGACAAAGATGGTGACTGTTTCAAGTATCTATGTGGGCAATTCCTAGCTCTTTCAGAAACGAAACTTAAAGGAGGGATTTTTGGTAGACCTCAGATTAGGAAATTCAATTTGCATGAACAGTTTGAAAGGACAATGAGGAAAGTTGAAAATTAAGCATGGATTGCCATTAAAGATGTTATTGACAAATTTTTAGGAAACAACGAGGGCCCAAAGTACAAAAATATTGTCAATAACATGCTGGATAAGCTCAGAGTTGGGTTGTAATATGAGCTTGAAAGTTCATTTCTTACTATCACTTATTGACTATTTCCCTGAAAATCTCAGTGCCATCAGTGAAAAACAAGGGAAGGTGGAACATCAGCATGATCATTGAAACAAGATGCTCTAGATGCAATATATAAAAGAAAGAACACAACCTATAGTTTTGAGACTAAAAATGTAGATTTCTCAAAAAAAAATCGGGATGAATGAGGATGCATATTCGTTTGACATCAGTGTTCTTCCCTTTTCTTCAGTTTGTTTGTATTTTGGATAACAAACATAATAATAAAAAATGTTAATTGTGGTAAATAAAATAATAATTTGATCTAAGTAAGAGTTTTTTTCTTCCCGATTTGTAAAAAAATCCTTATGTGATAGGAAAAAATGAATATTATTTTCGAAGTTACAACTGGTTCAAACTTAAAAAGTATTCTAGTCTTACTATGAATGTTTGTGTATATATTTTTTTCTTCCTGCAGAGATTAAGTACAAAGTGGGAACAATTTAAGCAACGTTATGGTACCAGGTAGGGAGTTTGTTTTCATTCAGTCACTTATTGTAAATTATATAAACTAAGTTGTTAGTTATAACTTTAGTAACAGAAATTCTTCATTTCATTTTGAAAACAGAATTTTTGTGTGTGGAACAATTTCTGTAATGTAAATGTGGAATTAAAATATTAATACATTTTATTTTATGCAAAATGAATGTGAAGAATGATAAATGTTAATAATATTTTTGTTTGAAACATTAATTATTTAGCTAAAGATAGTTTGGACAAATTTATTATAATTATTTAGAGTTTCTTCTTTTTATCCTTGTAAACCTTGAACTTAAAGGAATACTCCTTTTAAAAGAAATAATACAAAAAGATCTGGTGCTGCTTTAATAAGAAATTATTTTTTTATAGATATTTGTTTACTGTAGTGAAATTTCACTAATCTATACTATATACCAAGAAAATTTTTAGCTGTTTATTCGAGAAAGGTAGTCTCAAGGCTTTTAAATCTTAACTTTAGTTGTACGTAGTTACTTTAGTTATCATAGAAAACTGATTATGGAAGAAGGCATTCACACAATAAGGATTGTTATTGTAACAAATGGTTTATATAAATAGTAATTATATAATTATATCTCAACCAGCCTGAAGAACTTTGGATTGAGAAAAATGCATCATAAGCAATAGATATGATGAATATAGGATGGTTGAAATACTGTTATTATATACACTCTTCTAATTCATGAAAATCCATAAGAGACTAAATTAAGAATATAGTGTCAGAAAATATAATTAACATAACATGTCTTATGAAAAATGTAAGTAATTTTCATTTACAGCATATGATTTTCTCGGTATGTTCAGTAATGTAATCTCCGTCTATTTGAATAACTTTTTTGCATATTTATTTTCACATAAAGGAATATCTCACAGAACACCACAAACAGTTCTTATCAGGAATATATTTGAACATTCAAATTTACATGTATATTGAATATTTAACAAAAGAAAGTGGAAAATTAAATGTTCAGTGTTGCCTCAAATTATGTGCCTAACTGTTATTTTTAAAGTATTAAATATTGTATATTATGCTGCATTTTTGTAAGAAATAAAACATAATTAATACCTTTTCATTTTAAATGTTATTTTTAACTCCCCCAGTGTAGTCAAAATGTGTCATCCAATCTATAAGCTTTTTTTTTTATCATTATAGCAGAAAAACTATTTGGAATAGCACAATGCCCCAAGCAGTTGCTTGTCTTACTTATGCCTATAGTTGTACTGTCTTTCTTTGGCAAATTAGAAGTGATTTTAATGATTAAAACCACACTGTTGAGAGTTTTCTGATTTTAACAATAATGAAAAGTCCTATTGATTTAGCGAGTTATTCAATTTAATTCTAGTTTGTTTCTTTTTTTACTTCTAATTCTTAAAAGCTGATGTTGTTAGGTCTTACAGTGATGTTAGGTTTCTTTAAAGATCATCAGGTTTTAGCAAATTACAGAGTGACATGCAAATTATTGGTAGAATTTATAGAAAAGAATAATTTTGTACATTGTTTTAACTTAGTTCAGGCTATGAGGAAGAAATGACAGAAAGTCAGGAAGTGCTAGATGATCAAGTGAATCGACAAGTTACTAGAGAATATGTAGATCTTCTAGGTAGGTTGAAGCCTTATACAAATTTACAATTTTGCTAGGAAATGTAAAGATAATTTGAAAAAGTGTTGCATATTGAATAAAAAACCTGTTATGTACAAGATTTAGTGTGTGAATAATGGTTTTGTTTGTAACTAATTTGTAACTGAATTTTATGATGAATTATAGACCAAGACACTTTTACTCAAATTCAATATAAATTATATTGTGACAAAGACATGTTCTACACCAGTGTTTCTCAAACTTTCTAGGTTGTAACCCCACTTTTCTTATCTGTAATATGCTTTGTCCCCTCCCAGAAATGATGACAACAATAAACTCAGCTTAAAAAAGAAAACCAGAATACAAAGATAACACATCCAATGATATTGACAAGAGTTTTACATCTGTTTTTCAAATAATTCATGAATTGTGAAGGAAAACGGTAGAAAAAATATGAAGTGCTGCTCAATTTTTTTCTGTTTGTGCATAGGCTTGATTGTGAAAAGTAGATAAGCCTAAACAGAAGACCAAATCAAAAAACTTTACAAAAATCAGATGTTTATAAATAAAGTACCATTTATTACTACATGTAATTAACCCTCTTACTACAGGTAGGTTAAAGTGCTCATGTCACAAATTTTTAAAGAGTTCCATTCAAAATTTAATTAAACTACTTTATTATCATTGTATATGAATAAATTTGGCATCAAAATGTAGTTAATAAATCAAATTGGCATCAAAATGTAGTTAATAAATCAACTTTTAATATTATATAAGTTTTAAGTTTTTAATTTAAGAGGATTTAAAAAAAAAAAACTCAATCTTCCCTAGTATGAGTATCATGACATTTCCTCTTTAGGTTTTCCCTCTTCTCTAATTTATTTACCACTCCTACAAAAGGTACAGAATTTAATATAAATTACTCATTATAATATACATATTACTCAGGCGTAGCATAATTTTTATGACCTTCAATTTTATTTGTGTATGGAGCCATAAACCAGAATATCAGACCCACTTGCCATGCCCACCTGTTTCACAAATTGCCAATAGTTCTCTCTGACATTTTATACTATATTATTTATAACAAATAGGAAGCTAAAGTTTTATTCTAGTAAATGACATATTTTATTATAATGTTTTCTGTACAGAGAGTTGATGACTTCCTGGTTCAATTTCAAATTTGTTCTCATGGGAATCTCTTCTCAGAAGTTTTATAGGCTCTTATTTCACAGTTAGAAAGCCAGAAAAATTACGATAGTTATAGGACATTGTTTACTTTTTGTGTGCTATTATTATGTGATCTTAAGTGCATTATTTAATTAAATAAAAAATATTTTGTGTAATTATATCTACCATTAGTATAAGAAAAGTAGGCTTAATTTAGGCTAAATTAAGCCAAAAACAAATGATAGACATGGATTCAGAGGACGATATTATAGATTTGTCTCAGAAATTTTTTGGATCTGATGAGGATCTTGTGGATAACTGTCCTACTGATGATTCCTCGGTGAGGAACAACGATGGACGTGAGGGATCTGATTCACCTGGTGAAGTTCCATTTACTAAAAGTAAACTGATAGCTGACAAAGAGAAAGATCTGCGGATCTCTTCACTATTTAGATATGCACTCCCAAAAAATAACTGGAGAAAGTTCCAAATGGTTATTTTTCAAAAATGGTGTGCTTATGAAGAAATGGAAACCACCAGATGTGCCAGCTTCAGAGGACTAGGTTATTGTTTATCAAATCATTGTTCCCAAAGCATATCATTCTGAAATATTGAAAGTTCCCCATGGGAGGTCATTTAGATGTCAACAAGACATGTGACAAAATTATGAGACATTTCTTTTGGCTAAAAATTAGGCAAGATGTTTCTCAGTTTTGCAAAACTTGTCATACCTGTCAGTTGGTCAAAAAACCTAACCAGAAAATTCTTGCTGCTCCTTTGAAACTTATCCCAGCTTTTAAAGAACACAAGTTCCACCCTGAGGACATGGTCTTAGTATTGTTACCCACTGTGGGATATCTATTAAAAAAAAAAAAGAAAGACAGAAAGAAAAAGAGAGATAGAGAAAGAAAAAAGACTTTTAAATTGCAGTTTATCACTACAAGAGTATGATTTGTGGATAATCCATGTCAAAGGGGTTGATAACATTTGTACTGATGCACTTTCACGTGCTAAGTAATTTTATGATCATTAGGTTATTTGTATTGGTTGTGTTCAACACTGTAATTATTATTAAAGTTTTGTAATCATTTGGATAATATATTATATTTAATGTATTGTTGCCAATGTATATGTTTATGTGTGTGTGTGTGTGTGTGTGTGTGTGTGTGTGTGTGTGTATATATATATATATATATATATAATGTCATAATTAAAAATTGTCTAACTACCTTTAATTTTTAATTCTCTAAGGAGGGAGTTGTAACTAATTTATTATTACATATTTATTTTAATATCAACATTTGTTTAGATTAAGGTTATATTTAAAAACATACATAGCTTATAGTGTTAGACATGTATTACAAAACTCCCACCTATTCTCCAAAGTTGTAGAAGATTCTCGGGAGTAAGAATCAAAAATATATATATGTACGTAAACACTTAAATGTAGCTCAGTATTGTTATGTGAAACTGAAATTTCTAGAAAGCCTCCACATGCATTTAAATATAACGAACGCGCCGCACCAAAGGAAGAGTATGTATTATTAGTGTGCTATAAACTTCGAGAGTAATAATTGTAATTGTTATAACGCTTACCAATTGGAAAACTTCAGATATTTGACCAGGAACCTTTACAAAGTTCGAACATTACAAATCATTTAACGTCAGTGGATTCTCATTGGACATTAGTATTTTTTATGGAAACATTATATAAATTTATCATGTAAAACTCAGCGTGTGTAGCCGGTGAATAACAAAGGACAAAGCTAGCTAGCTTCCCATTAAGCAAATCGTACCTACATCAACTCATAATTAACTCGCTCATCGTGAGCCCTCGATAAGATATCAAAAAGTACCAGACAAGAAAGAATACATTATATTGCTTGTAACTTTGTAAAACTTTTGTTTATAAATCATTGTTTGTAATAACTGTTATTGTAAATTGTATTGTTGTGTGTATATTAAAATGTATTTGTGTTAAGAAAGAGAAAGATATTTGTTGGCAAATATCATAAACTGACTATATATCGGCTTTTACTTAACTACTAAATCCAAAGTACCATATAACTACTAAATTTAAATTTATCAGTTAATGCAATTTCAGGATATTTGAAATTCCTAAACATAACAAGTTGTTCAAAACTTGAAAATAGCATTGGTAACTGGACCAATTGTTGGTTGAGATGTTGCAAAAGAAATATCTGCTGAAGCTTTTTGACAGACACTAATCATAGCAGAACCATCTGGAAAATGATCTATAGGAATTAGTACAGCTTATAAAATGAGTCAGATCAATGTAAGCCAGTAAAGCAATCACTGATTGGCGTGTCCTTTAGCCAATCAGGAAATGTCACAGACCTACTGAAGGATATGTAGATTGTACAGGAATTCTTTTTGGTGGCAAAAGACAGGTTTCCTCTTACAATTTGCAGTCATTCTAGAATGAAAAAAGGGTAATCTGTATTTATTTATTTTTTGTTGATGTTCTTTTTATGATGGTTATGAGGTCGGTAAAATTGACTAAATGTGTATTGAGTTAGGGTACAGAAAATAACTGATAAAATATAAAGTTTTATTGAGAAATAACATTAGATATTTGTAGGAGGTTTTATTGATTAAGCAAATGAAATTTGACAATTTTCAGATAGCAAAGTATTTTTAATCTTAAAATGAAAATCACTTTGCACTTAGATCAGTCAACCCTTTGACTCCATTTATTTCCTGAGAAATATTTAGTAAGAAACTTCATTAAGATGTACAAAACATATTAAAAGTTATAATATGGAAGCTCCAAAGATCAATTTAGGGTCATGAATTCAGTCAAATTGACCAAGTTTGTAGCAAGAGAGTTAAACACTTAAATAAGGTTAATTATATCTTCCTTACAATTTAATTATCAATGGAATGACTTATGTCTTTAAAACTACACAAGATAGTTTCAGGAACTATAACCCCTCTTATTTTCAAAACAGCAAAAAGTTTATTACTAAATACTTAATAAATCATCATTTTAGGAAGGTATGACAAAGTAAGTAGCCTTGGTGTCAGTTTAAATTACCATATCATTTACAATGAAAATGAGCTTATTCTATGAATTACCATCCATCAATGGCACTGTTAGTTATCTGTATGATAATATAAATTATGAGATTGATGAAGGAAATAAACTTAATCTCTTAATTACTGCACACCAATGGCACTTTAAGTATAAAATATTAAGTAACACTAAGATGTTATGACATTTGTTTTACATTTAAGTATTTCACTTTAAGTTCCTTCAGTTCTGATTTACCCTGGAACTCTTCTGTAAATTTTAAAAAGTTGTATTTCCTATAACTTATTATCCATTGACAATGCTTTGGATTTGGAATTTTTTACAGAGTATCCATCTGTAAAGTGTAAGTTGTATGTTTGAAGTTATGTAAATTTCTGTTATTTCAGGAACTTCAGACCTTATGTTTAAGTTTCTTTATGACCAATATTTTGAATAGATGTCATTCTTCATGGAAAGAAAATATCCAATGAGCAAGTGTCTGAGCTCATGGAAGAAGAAACTGAAACTAGTAAACCTGCTAGTCCAACAGATGGTCTTTCTGAGCTAGGTATCTCAGTAATACGAACTGAAGTAAGTAATGGTCATGAACACTGCAGTCAGTAATATTGATAATGAAAATGAAAACAGCTGTGAACAAGGAGGTTCAGACCTTGATTTGAACAGAAGCAAGCACACTTTTGTTCCAAAAATAATGAAAGGATTTCACTACTCTGTCTTTAAGTCTTGAAAGCATAATTTTGCTCAAGTAACTTAATTCCCACAATACTCAACAAAAGATACTTGTATATTTTCTTATTTGTAAAAGTTAATCTTTAGTTGTTACTTTCCATTCTTGTAAACTTCCCAAGTGTGCAATATGATTATTTCCATTTGTTTGGATCTCTTTCTGGGTCCTTTTCAATTACATTATTCAAATGTGTCATCCATAACTGGAATGACAGTTAGTTTTCAGGTCAATATAACTGATGATGAGAGTAACTATTGTATAAACACACATACATCCTGTTCATTCTTTACACCACTGAGTCATAAAATATTGGTGTTAGAAAAAACAATGTTTACCTAATTGAAGCAGCATAAATTGTCAAAACCTTAACTGTTAGTAACATTAGTTTTCCTCATTGATGTTACAAAAGTTAAAAATGTACCTTAAGTTTGTTTGCAATAGTCATAATTGGTTTCAAAATTTAAGACTTGTGATTTGAAGCTGAGAACAGTGATATTATTAAATTAAGATCTTATAAACACCTACTGTCAGTTGCATGCTATTGTTTTAAGTAATATAATAATGTTGAGATAAAAATATTAAGTGTAATAAGCAAGTAATACTATTTACAACTGTTAGGGGTAAACATTGAACTTGATTGTTTTTGTGATTATAGTGAAACCTTTTATGAGCAGTGCATTGACAACTAATTTTAACAGATATAATGAACATGGGGTGAGCAGGGTTTTTGTCATGGAGGAAAAAAGTTTGATATAAATAGTAGAACCTGGTAAAAACTGAAGTAGTGAAATTTGATGAACATTGTTAATGATTTCATTTACTAAGGTTTTTTTATTCTGTTATTTCAGACTGTTTGCCCTTCAATTGTCATGACAATATGTGATGCTCTTCACTGGCTTGATACAACTACATGTCTGAAAAGTGTTCAGTTATGTACACCAGTACTTAAGCAGGTAATTATAATCTGCCATCTTAAAATAAAAAAATATTTAATATTGAAATGAAAATGGGGATACATTATTTTGATAAGAAAAATTGTGCAGTTTTTTTATTTAAAAAGAAATCAGTTTTAATGTTTCCATTAATTAAAGTTTAGTATGTAATTTATGAACACAAATTTAATGGAAATTAATAAATATATGCCTATCATGTGTTTAAGATTAGTTCTGTTAAACCATGGTGTTCAGAGGTAAGTAAAACACATCAAAAGTCAAATTTTTATTAATTGTCAGTTTAAATAATATTTCATCAATCACTTTTTTTTTCTTCAATATAGGGTTATCAATATAGGATTTTTCGTTTCCACAAAACTATTTAAATCAAGAACTGAAACAAATGATAGATTAAAGTATGGTAACCTTTTTTACTTATAAATAGTGTAAGAGGATATTTTTAATACCAAACTGCTAATACAGTTTTCATGTTCATCAGCTGTTATCAGATTCTATTATCCAGCAACCAGAAGAAGCTTTCTATATTCTACACAGTGTACTCAAAGGACTACAGGAGCTTGGTGAACATGAAGCTAATCAAGCACTTTTGCTTGGGTTGGGGCTGCAGACATATGAGACTCTACGTCCAGTATTTCCTACTTTACAAACCGTCTTGTCTCAAGTGACTGGTTGCACTCAGAAAGACTTGCAGGTAAACCAACAAGGAGTTAAATTTATCATTTATATTATAGCTGTGTAGAAATGTAGAGTTATATGAAACACTTATAGATAGTAACTCGTATTTGGAGCTTTCTATGCTACAACTGCAATAATCTCATTTATGTATTTTTCTATATTAAGACCTTGTTAGTGATGACAAACAAAATAAATTTTAAAAGTTACTATAAATGCTGAAAGCCACCAAAATATTATAAAGCATATAGGCCTAAAAATTTGGAAAGAAAAACATTATTGTTAATTTGTTTTTACAATAGTGTTTAGGCCTATTGGTTTTCGAAACAGGCTTTGTTTCTAAGAAAGGTAGTACAAGTGGTCAACTTCATTGCAATTACTTACTTTCTTAACGGATGCTAAAAGTTTTTAAAACTTGCATGCAGCTATTTCATGTTAGAAATCTATGGCATAAAATAAACCTCAAAAGGTGTCCATGTTTAATGGGAAACTTATCATGTTATTTGCCTAATTAGTTGAATATATTAAATAGAAGCTCAGAGATATAGCTTTTGAATGTATTTTTTATTTTTTAACTTCATAAGAATGTTTTGAAACTACTTTGTTCATCATCAGGTAAACTGTCATCTATGGTATGAAATATTGCACAAGCATTTTGTTCGAACTTAGAAAATATATATGGTGACGTGTTTTGGTGTGAGTTAAGTTGTAGTTCATGAATAATTAATACTTCTTTTCTTTTTCTTCTATCAGTGCTGTTCTCCTTACATAATATTAATTTGATGTTGATTCATTATGCTGTGTTCATAAATGTGTGATGGAGCACTCTTATGTAATTTGATCTTAATATTTATGTTGTGTCCCATTTCACCTATATGAATGTTGTAACATCAGTCGCATTGATATTTATAAATGCTTCCATTGTTGAAGTTATCAGAATAAACTTTCCTTAGATGATCTTTGATCTTAGGGCTCAGTTTTGGTCTAAGTTAGGTTCTGGTTCACGAATAATTAATACTTCTTTTTTCTTCTATTAATGATGTTCTTACATAATATTCTAGAGTTGCTAATATTTCTTTCATGGAGTTTAAGGTGTTCTCTTTCTTCTTTTCTGTTATTTAATTTGTTTTTATATTTAACTAAGGTTGTAGTTACAATATGTTTAGGGAAGTGACAGCTGTTAATAAATGTATCAAATATTGATTCTAGTTCGTGTTGCAGATTACTGCATAATCTCTAAAATCTCCTAAATAAATATCAAATGTGTTGTCTCTTTTTTTTGTCAGTTATCTATTATTTTCTTTACCCTAACTTTTGAATGATCTCATAAAGCAATGAATCACTGCTCCTGTCATCAGACTGTTTAAGAGACACTGTAATATACGACACAGTGGTGCAATTACCACTCAAATTACAAATTTCCTCTTCAAGCCAATTACAAAGGGCTGTCAGATTTATGTAGTTTTGAATGTGCTATTTGTATTAGTTGTAAACATGTACTTAAGAGAAGTAGGACATGTGGCTATGAGAAAATGTTTATGATATGGCTATGTACAAAGTCAAGGCTGATCCAATAAACTTGGTAGGTATTTGGATATTAGCTATCCTCCCAGGGTGGATGGAATTTAGCAGTATAGGTGTACAAAGAGTGTAAGAGCTTATGAAAATGTGTGCGTATGTATGTATGTATGTATGTATTGCATCATATATATATATATATTACTACTGTTTATTCATAAATTTTTAGTTATTTTTCTTAAAACATAACACAATAAATAAAAAACATATATGAAACACTGGTTTCTAGTACTTATGATGTTACAAAATTGATTTTTACTTGCACGTTGTACTTGCTAAGTCTCGCCGTAAGCCTTGGGTCTTCTCTCAAGTGGAGGGGGAAGACAAAATTGAGTTTTGTAGATTTCAAAGATGCATTTTAGAAAACCAAAAGTTATCAAATTATTGTAGTGGTACACATTAAACCACTGTAATTTATCTGGCTTTCTAACTAAGCTATATGTGGGTTAAAAATATTCTAATTTCTGTTCAAAACAACAACTTACTCAATAGACTTCAACATTTCAACTCAAATTATAAATTTCCTTTTCAAGCCAATTACAAAGGGCTGTTAGATTTACGTAGTTTTAAATGTGCTATTTCTATTAGTTATAAACATGTACTTAAGAGAAGTAGGCATGAGTAGACAAGAAGTTTCAAAAGAATGGAGTAGTGGGCAGGGCTACCCTCGTAGGTTTGCAAAATATATTGATATCTCAGCAAGTCAAAACGATGGGAGGTTCTTATTTCATATTCTAGGTTGTAAAAAGCTGAAGTTTGAGTTTCTAATTTTTTAACCACTAAAGATTTTGTATGGTAGGTGTAATAAAATATAAACTGAGCAAAAAGACATGCCATTTGACACACTGAAAAGCATATTTGGCATTTATTTTAAATGTTTTCTTTCGAACTAAAAAGTATATAATATTAAAATTTGAATTATAAACTATGTTGTGATGCCAATTTTATTGACAATATAATGATAATAAACTTGTTTAATTAAGTTTTGAAAATAACCCTCTAAAACATCATGACATGCACCCTTTGACCCGTATATTGAGAGAGGGTTAAAATATATAGTGGATTTCCTCTCCTTACAACAAATAGTTGAATATTAATGAATTCTGAGAAAATTAATGAAACCAATCATTAAGTTCAGTTCTGGTTTATGCACTAAAATGGCTAGAGATTCTTGAACTCTAAAAGAGTTTGTTTACCAGAAGCACAGAATAGAATGTCAAGCTGGTCTTTTAGAACAATTGAATCAATCATATTTATTTTGAGCATGGCTGAAAACACTTGAGTTGAACAATCATAGCCTTTAGAGCATGAAGGACATTAAACAACTAAGGAGTTTTGTAATTTGTGAACCTTGTCTTTAAATAGGAAAACAAATTAAAGATGAAGAAAGCTTATAAAAACATATCTGCAGTTTACTGGAAGATAAGCACTGCTGAGCATTTTGAAAATTTGAAGTCTTAAGCACAAATAATCATTACCTAGATAAGGAAGCGTAAGGTGACAGAGAGCACATCAGCAGTTGGAACAACCAAAGACTTAGTATTTTTGAAAATAGTTTCCATCACCTTTTCAGCATTTTCCACAAAATTAAAGAGGAAGATAATTTTTTGCAACATTTGTTTATCTGAATGAACAAAACAATATTAAATTTATATAGTATTTCAAATGTTCTTTGTGATTTCAAAAACCCATAAAATTTTCTTTGTAACAAGTAATCTCTGACTTAACCAGACTAAATTAAGTAGTGGACAAGATCTCCATTAACTCCATTAAATCTGAAAAAGCATAAGTAAATTACAGGGATAGGTAGGGCACCATCTGCCAAGCAATTTGTTGGAGATGGAAGGGTTGAAGGCTGTATGAAAGAAGTGTTACACAGTGCCAAAGTCAAGCTATGGGTAATGGCCATTGGTCAAGCCAAGCTGAATACACTAAGCAGCTTGACAACACTGCTTATTGTCTTACTGCCATCATCCTTTCTCACATTACACATTAGGGACCTCTTCTGGAACCTCCTTGAAACCACCCAGTTAGATAGTGGATGATGTTCTCTTTGTTTAAGTGGTTTATTTGTAAAGTCACCTTCGTCAGTGATAAACCTTTGACCTCTTATGTGACTTTTTCAATCTCGGATATTCCATTTGGATGGTCGTATCCACATCTGGTACACTAGTAATCTTATAAGCATTTTGTGACATTGCATTTGCGGGTCAGATTTGAAACTGACACTTCTGATGTTTGTAGAAGGTTTGAAATGACAGGTATAAATGTTTTTGAAAAAACAGTGTGTTCTTAATGAAACTGCATTAGAAAAACTGATGAGTAAAAGCTAATTTTCAGAAAAATATCACTAAAATGTCACTAACCTTACAAAAGTCACCATGTTTTCAAGAGGAACTTAAGCTTTTATATGCAAGGGATACATCACCTGATAATGCCATTCGGGAAGTTGGAAACAGTACTGTTAGGGCTAAAAATAGTGAATTTAATTGTAATGAGCATGTTCTGTTGAGCAACAGATTTCAGCCCTTGGCTTGTACAGGTGAGGAACTATTGGAGGGAAGGAAAACAAAAGGGACAGAGAAGGATGTGAATGAAAAACTTAAGGAGATTATAGTTATTGGTGATTCTTTGACAAGGTATGTGGATAGGATAGCCTGTGGGGTAAATAGAGAGAAAATTATTAGATTATACTAACCAGGGACACAGGTGGAGGATATAACTGACAGAGTAAGAGATATAATGATGGGGGCTAGCAATGATGCAGTTTTTGTTGTACATATAGGGCTAATGATGTAGGGAAATGTAGGTCAGAGGAGCTAATTAATAAGTATAAGGAGTGGATACAGGCATTTAAAGAAAAGTCTTAACTTAATTGTGTCAGGGATGCTGCTGAGAATTAATTGTGGGGCTGAAGTTATAAGTAGATCACTAGGGCTGAATGCTAGGCTTAGGTTAAAATGTAAGGAGGAACAGATTGGCTGGTTGGACTTTTGGGATCAGTTTAATGGGAGAAGGGAGCTTTTTAGAATGGATGGTTTACATTTAAATAGGGTAGGGGTTGGCTTCTTTGCAAGGGCTATTAACTCAGCTGTAAGGGAAGTTTTAAACCAGGACTAGACTGTGGTGAGGGCCAGGAAAACTAAATGCAAAAGGAACAAGAAGCAGAGAAAAGTTTAGCACAGGAAATCAGTATAGAAGTAGTTATAAGGATAGGCTTAGTTGTTACTGTTGTAATACTAGAATTATAAGAAATAAAATAAAAGAGAGCTTGAAGAAATGGAGGATTTTGATATAATGGAATAATTGAAACATGGTTAAATGTAGACAATTTTTATAATAGAAATTTCATTGAAATACGGGGTTATAGGTTATTTAATAGGGATAGAGTACTAAAGAGAGGGGGGAGTGGCTTTATATGTAAAATGTGAATTACATCCT